AAGTAGCCCCAGTGAAGGGATTCCTGGAAGCCAATGTCTTAATAAAATACAAAAGAATTGTTCTCACAAGTAAATGCCACGCCTTACGAAGGGACTTATCTATGTAAAACATGTGTGTGTGTGTGTGTGTGTGTGTGTGTGTGTGTGTGTGTGTGTTTAATTGATCAGTGGAAATTGCCATGAGGCCATTTCTATCTTAGGTCTGTGGGCGGGACTGGGAAAGAAATATGTCAAAGGAAATAATAATAATAATAATAATAATAATATCATATTATACAGAGTGCATCAGAAACACCTCCCACATTTAAATTCTCACCTGTCTGGTTCATATGAACTTAGGTAAGAGGTAATGGTAACTTCAATTACCTAATACTTTGTAATTCTTTTTAAATACTATCACTTACCTTTCTGGTTAGGACGGGGACAAACCATGCGCTTGCTGTGGAAACGTTATTTTTAAAAACTAATGAATCTGTAATTGCAACACAGAGAGGTCTTCGTGAACATTTCATGATATGTTGAAAGATGCTGTTCCGTATAGGAAATCGATACTGTTATCGGTTGAAATCTTCAGGGCCGCGCCTCAAAGAAAGCCACCCGGAAGATCTCGAAGCGCTCGAACGGCCAGGTGATGGAAAACTTTAGAAATCGTCTAGATCAGTGTATGGCGAATAGAGACAACAATTAGGATGATGTAACTTTTAAAACCTATTGAATACAAACTGTAGTCCTTGGTTTAAACAACAGTAAAATAATTTTTAAGGTCATTTTTGAACATTTTATCAACATTTAAAATGTGAGAGGTATTTCTGCCACACTGAGTATAAAAAAAAGTCGAGGTGAATTAAAATCCATTCGTATAAGAAGCCCAAGCATGTGCTGGATACAAATGAGCTAGATGTCTTTGGTGAGCCGATGGATTCTTTCTATATTTTTGGTATCTCTGAAGTTCCTGGGGGTAATCCCTAATAGGAAAAGAAGCGTCCCTTCGCTGCGTGTTCATAACGGATGGCTAGAGGAAGTTCCTGCTGTCGTTTATCGATCTCTACTTACTCCATTTTCAAATCTTAGAGAATGCCCATTTTAACAGTCTTTGCGTTCACTACACCATCTTTTGAGTAAGAGTTCGGCACTCTCTCAGTTTTTTTGTTTTTTTCCCCGCTGCAATCTACGGTTCGCGTGTTTAACTATTTCCGCCTTCTTGATGAAGCATTTGAAATATGAAAGGTTATTTGCCACAAGAAACTCTGAGGATATTCTTGAATTTGTCAGGACTAATTCTTTCCATTCGAGTCTCCGTTTGATTAAGCACTCGGTGAGAGCAAGCGAGGTCATGATGCGATCGTCTGGCGCGCTTAAATAAAGGGCAGTTTCCGTGGACATTTTATCAACATTTAAAATGTGAGAGGTATTCCTGCACATCAGTATGAAAAAAAATGTCGTAGTCAATTAAAATCCATTCGTATAAGAAGCCCAAGTATGTACTGGATACCAATGAGCTAGATGTTTTTGGTAAGCCGATGGATACTTTCTATATTTTTGATATCTCTGAAGTGCCTGGGGGTAATCTCTAAATGGAAAGAAGCATCCCTTCGCCGCATGTTGATCACGGATGGCTAGAGGAAGTCCCTACTGTCGTTTATCGGTCTCTACTTACTCTGTTTTCAAATCTTAGAAATTGTAACAGTCTTTGCGTTCAAGCATCATCCTTTGAGTAAAATAATTGTTTAAAGGCCAGTTACCGTGGACATTGTATCAACATTTAAACTGTATGAGGTATTTCTGCCAAACTTAGTAATTAAAAAGTCGAGGTCAATTAGAATCCATTCGTATAAGAAGCCCAATATATGCTGCTAGATCTCTTTGGTGAGCCGATGGATTCTTTGTATATATATTATATCTCTTTAGTATCTGGGGGGTCACCATTTGGAGAATTTAATTTTTAAAACTAAATGTATAAACACTTTTTTATTAATATACGTCGAGTTAGATCCTTTACAAATGTTTTTTTCTTTTCATTTCATAAAAACACATACATTTGCGCTTGTAGTTTCGACATCTAGTGTATACCTAAGCTAATGACGCTCCAAAAGTGGGGACCTATACAAGACTATGCAGCGTTAAGTATATAAAGTAGCAAGGGTGTACTAACGTTAATTATGTTACCGGGATGAACGAATTTATTAGGGACCTCCACTTTTTTCGGCAAAATTTTCGATACCTAACGTTAAAATAAATTTTTAAAAATGAAAAAACATGCTTGAAGATTTCATTTTAGCTTTAATTGAAAGTTTAATCATTAAATTTATTATTTCCATTAAGTAAACAATTCTGGTGTATTTCAGATAGAAACTATATACATTGGAATGTCAAATTTAATTTTGGAATTTTAAATTTTCGGAATTCCCGCCATTTTCTTAATTTTAAGAAATTTGTAAACAAACACAAATTTATCGATTTTAAAAATATTTAAAAAAGTTCCTGACACGTTATTTTAGTAAAATTAGAAAATTTAATGTTAAATTAATCTGATTTAAAAGAAATATTACTTACTTCTAGCATAAAAAAGTAATATACAACCAATTATTAACGATTGGTACTGTTATTTTTATCCAATACTTGATCTACGTCTTGATTGACGAGTGATGACAGCTACTACGGATGACCATAAATGAAAATTATTAGAAATCTGAGTGAACGCTTTTTTTTTTAGTTTTACTGAAAGGGACAAATCTCTTTTTATAATAATGGCAATTTCAGTCTACTGTACATAGAAATAAGAAACGTATTAAGTAAAAAAAATACAACATAAAAAATTATTTGAAAAAAAATTAGCAAAACTAAGTTTATTAAACTTTGCAATTTTGAACTCGTAAATTTTGTTTCTACTTAATTACTAATTACCACAAGGAAATAGCCTAATACAGAATTTTGCACGATTTTTAAACTATTATAAATTATTATAATTAAAATGTAAAACAAATGAAAAACTTCTTGTAAAATTGAATTATTCATCAGAAAAAATTTATTTCTTCAGGCAATAATGACCTTAATATTACTTATTTACAAAAGCAATTAAAAGCTTTTCTAATTAAGTAATATCATAGATTTATTGGATTCATTATTTTTCATTTCAAAGCAGATTTTTAGTTAGTGCAAATTTGAAAAAAAAAAGTGGAGGTCGCTAGATTTAATACACCTCATTTGAACATTTGCCACAGAAAAAGCGATAGAATAGAACTAGACTTGCGACAATGAATCTGTCGGAACGATGCCGCAGAGTGGAGAAAAAGATATTTTTAGAAAACGGTAATTCTAGAAAGGTATTTCTTCTTTCTTTTCTTTTTTTAAAGTATTTCTAGAATAGTTATTTCTAAATAAATATATTTCTGGAAAAATCTATTTCTAGAAAAGGTATTTCTGGAAAAATGTATTTCTAGAAAAGGTATTTCCAGAAAAAAAAACACGTAAACCACTTTAAAGTCTATCACGGCAGGAAAATAAGGATTATGTAGCCCCAACCTAAATATGACAGAAATACTACATCTCTGGCGGTGACTGGTTCTTGTAAAGATAATGCATGGTAGAAGGAGTTATGTACTACCCTAAGGGATTGAATGGGCTGACCATTTAATAAGCATGCTATGCGAAGTTAACAATTCTTAGAGACCAGCCTTTAGAAACACTTGTTAAGACCTAAATTTTACCAGTGATTAATCTCGCATATTTGGAAGAGATACTAAAACATCATTAGCCAGAAAAAAAAAAAAATTTCAGTATTTACATTAGTCGAACTATTGTTCTCATCTTTGTCGCTATATTTGTCACAACGTTTCGGCCGTTGTACGCTCCGGCAAATATGGCGACAAAGATGAGGACAATAGTCCGACTAATGTAAATACTGTACATAATACCTCATCTCAGAAATATAGACAAAAACTTTTCATTGCTCTTTTTCCAAACAATATTTTTTAAGTCGCTTTAGCACTTTATGACTAAACTTTCTTATTTTATTCATTCATGTTTTACGTCCTGTCAACTCTTTGGGTGTTATTCAAAACCAGAACATCGGTTGGATTGTAAGAATAAAGATTTTTGCGTGTAAATATTGCATACATAATTTTTTTTCTAGATAGTAATAGATTTTTCCAGACAGAAGTCTTACTATATAACACTAACTGGAGTGAACTGATGGATTCATAAATTTTCGTATGTGAAAGTTACTAACACGAATGGAATCCGATCCTGGCTCAGTAATTTCTCATTCTGAAACGCTATCCATTACAACATCGACATATCCAACCGTAATTGTATATGTGATTTTATGGCATTTAGTCAAGAGGACATTTTTTGTTTGCATTCTAGAGGTGAAGAAAACATTCACATTAATATTGTCATATAAGAATGGTTTTGGTTTGCGTCAATGAATTAGTCGAGGATTTTTTTTTATATATTCTGAATTTGTTTGAATCGCTGAAAAGACATGAAGAATTGGATGAGGCGAAGTGAAATATAACCTGAAGATAAAAAGTTTAAGCACGTTTGCCTCCTGAATTATTTTCCACTCAACAACCTCATTCCCACAATCTAGACACAAATTTTGAACTTCATGAGCATTATTTTCCTCACATTGAAAAACGTAAAAGACGCTCATTGGCATGCAACAATATCGCCGATTGACTGAATTGGTGATAAACTTTCATTTTCTCTTCCGTCATCCAAATAAAATTGAAAAAAAAAAGCAGTTATTCCCTTCAGCGTAGCACATGGACTGTTTGTTTATATTCAAAGAAATCATAATTAAATCTTTAAATTCCACCAAATTAATAGAAAATATTTTTGTTTTCCAAGATCAGGTTGAACTCAATTCCGTGGCTTCTCCATTCTTCAGGCATGTAAACAATCTATGAATTGATTGACTGCACAGTGCGATAGAGAAAATTTAATAAAATAATACTAATGCTGGGAATTATTTCATTAAGAGGACATAATGGTCAAACCGTAATGAATATACAAAAAATAAAACAACAGACAGACAAATAGATAGATAGATTGATAGATATGAGGCAAATGAGATAGATAGATAGATAGATAGATAGAGATGAAAAAAACTGCGATAGATAGATAGATAGATAGATAGATAGATAGATAGATAGATAGATAGATAGATAGATACAAAAATGTAAAACGTGAACGGTATAGATAATCGTATAAATCTCAAGGACTACAGTATCTCACTATATTTCCCATGATTCATCATGCATTGATCATTGCCAAAGGAACCCTCTCTGGTAAAACATTTCCACTGAACTTATTAGTCTGCCAACAAATGGAAGGGCTAACTTTTTGGTGTTAATCTTTATTTTGAAGTTAGCGGGTCTTTTGAGCCGACAGCTCAATATTACTTCTCAGCCCCAATGACATAATGACCGGATGGATGATCCTTGCTATGCGGAAAGCAAAAAGATGATGGAAGACATTTATATAAAAAGAAACCGATTGTTCACTTACGTTGCTTCAATGTGAGACTTCGTCTTCATGAAATTATTAATTTATCATAATACAGTCGCTCCAAGTGAAGCTGTGACAAATAACCCATGAAGAAGTCTCTCTGTCTCTTTCTCATATATATATATATATATATATATATATATATATATATGATAAAAAAAAATATAAAATTTATATATCAGAATAATAGTTGGTAACTGAATGACAGAATGAAAATTGCTCATTTCATTGTGAGATGAAACTTCTTCAGACTATATATATATATATATATATATATATATAAAAATATATACAATAATCAATCTCTCCTTATATATATATATATATATATATATATATATATATATACGATCCATCTCTCTCTCTCTCTCTCTATCTATCTATCTATCTATCTATCTTTTATATATATATATATATATATATATATATATATATATATATATATATATATATATATATATATATATGATCCATCGCTTCCTCCTTTAAAAATAAGACCCAACATACTACGGTAATTTTAACTTGTACTACTGAAGTCCCATTATTTGGCCACAAAAATAATATATATGTACAACGTGACGGTGTTTCCATAGGTTCAGTTCTGGTTTCAACTTACAATAACTCTTATATGGCTAACCTAGAAATACATTTAATATTTTTTTTAAAAATCCATCAACCAGAGATATGTTGATGACATTCTCATTTTAGTAAAAACATTGAGAAAATACAAAAATGCCAAAAAGAATTTTAAATTCAGCTGTGAAATTAATAATAAATTCGGTCCCTTATATATTGATAGAAACCGATAATAATAAATTCAATCCCTCACCATATAAAAAATTCAATCCCTCACCATATAAAAAATTCAATCCCTCACCATATAAAAAAACTACGAGTATAAACCCGTGCTCTTTTAATTATAAGAGTGAATGTTCCAGATACTACAAAATAGCAATTTTACAAAATTAAATAAACCGCGTGCAAAAGGTAACTCATTCACAAAATAAATTTTCTATATAGGACTTAAAAACATTAAGCAAACTCTCATTAATAATGGCTTTCCTAACTACATTGTTGATGAACAATTAAGGCGATCTATTAGAAATTTTAATATGTATCAAATAGAAAATAATACATCCTCAAATAATCCTAACCATATCAATCTTTTATATTGTAATCAGATGCATTCTAAATATAAAAAAGACGAAAAACATGCTAAAAAATTCCTAAATACTAATCTATCCCCCACAGATCAAAGTAGAAAAAGAAAATGAATTATATTCTATACTAAATTGAATACAACTTTATCGTCCACAGTAAATCCTCTACACCAATTAACGTATTGCAAAAAGCCAACATTATATATCGATTTAAAGGTTCCATTGGAGATTGCATCTCTGACAAAAAAGCTATATTGTTGGTTATAAAACAAACACGTTAACTAGAATTCTCACTCTACAATGAAATGATTCATCATCTATTGCACATTTGCAAATAAATTCTTGTCCACATTCACAATTTAGAAGAATATAATTTAACAACCCCTGCATACTTCACAAAGAAAGTAATATGCAGACATTGCAAATTCTTGACGCTATTTTATTAAAAAAAATAAAACCAACACTTAAAAAATTAATTATAGATATGGAACAAATCTTGTGAAATGCTTATAATACATAGATTAAAAAAAACTAAGTTATAATTAATAGTTTAAAAACAAATGAATTATTTTCTCCATTAATAATCCAATTATTAACTAACTTAATCTACCTTACATTAAAATAATTAGTCTGACGTTACAGCCACACGCATATTCATAATTTTAATAATTCAACCTCAAAGAATTTCTCTTACAACATAAATTTTTAAATCAGCGTTTCTGTCTTGACCTGAAAGGTTAACGGTTTAACGACAAAAGCAAAAACATATTTCGGACAAACACAACTATTTGTGTTAGACATCAAAGACCTGATGATGGTATTGTAAATAATATCGAAAGTACTCGGAAAAAAGAAATAATATAATTGAATAAATATAGCTTTATTACCTTTCTTGCTGTCATTAATCATTAAACACGAAAACGTACTTACGAAAGGATCTTATTGAAGATAACTAAACTCATATCTAAATCTAAATATAATATATATATATATATATATATATATATATATATATATATATATATATATATATATATATATATATATATATATATATATATTATACAATATATATATATAGTTGTGAAGTTGTGGAGCTTATAATCGCCTCCTGAATGTTCAGACCAAATAAAGAAGACGTGTTTGATTTTAACGGTTCCAATTCGTAGCTAGACAATTATGAAAACATTCCCAAAATGTATTCGCGTTTTAAAGAGCTTTTTTTTAAAAAAAAACGAAATAACACCAGACAAATTTTAAAAAGAACATTAAAACCTTCATTGGTGTTTTGGATCGTTGTGCTCCAGAAAACACTCATAAAATAAGGAAAAAAAATCTCCGTTGTGTAACAACACGAGTCAAATTAATTCGGACATAAATTTAAGAACCTCACAATTTCTACAGAGGTTGGCAATTGTACTGATTACCATTTAATATACACCTCTCAATGTACCAAACATGACTTATGTGGGATTCACAATGAAAATATTAAATAATAGATTCAGTGGCCAGAAATAAGTCAGACACAACTATGTGTCATAAATGAAGCTTGCTTAAACATTCAAAGAGAGTCTCTGTCGGCCCGTCTGTTCTGTCTGTCCTTAATCACCTTTCTCATTAAATAAACAGTGATAACCATGGATACAATGTAAAAAAAAAAGTGTCATTACAATTGTTTTTAATTTTGCCGAACATCTTAAGGTGAACATTCTAAAAAAATATTCAGTATCTGGCGAGCATGCAAGCATTAAAAGCCATAGGGATAGTTACGTATGTAAACTACTAAATTTCCACTCCAGGGGAATGAACAGAATGGATAGGACAGTTCCATAAGCTTTATACTAAGCTGATATTATTAACTAATCAACTTTGGGAAAATTCTACGATGTGTTTGATCAACGCACGATCAACCTACGTTTCATTTCCATGTTACACCTGCCACTTGGATTTTATACGTTTTGACGCATTAATTATAAGTACAAAAGATTCTCAAGACAAGCGACGTTTGTACAAATATTTATAATTTTTTGTAGATGAACACTTTGTTCATTTTTATTTTTAAAATCGCGGTCTTCCCTAAGTTCTGGTTAATAATAATAATAATAATAATAATAATAATAATAATAATAATAACAACAACAACAACCACAATAATGAATGTAAACTAGAAAGAGTAGAAAAGTGATATGATCATAAAGTACTTCTCTGAAAGTTCACTGTGCAATGTGATAGTGAAGTTGAAATAAGGACGTCATGCATCATTATTGTCCAGACTGAAGATCATCGATATAGCGGTCACCAGGGGACGTAATTGCAATTTAGACACGAGAAGAGAGTGGCTGTTTTGTAGGCTCCCTTCGAACAGCAACGGGCAAAATACATTGAACGACTTTGCAAAATTAAGACTGTGATCCGAACTGAGAGATTTCAGAAAAGAGTACTGCTTTGGATAATCAGGATTCAGAGAGAAAGCTTTTGTTTATGGAGAAAAGTGAAGACATCAGACGACGTAGGTTCATTATTTATAACCCGCTCTTTATCGTTAAAGTACATTATAAAGACTGCTTAAGAAAAAAAATGAAATAATAATAATAATAATAATAACAAAAGAAATAAAATTGTTCTCACGTGTACAGACCACACATTACGAAGGGATTTATCTATGCAAAATATGTGTGATGTTTTTTTTTTAAAATTGCTTGGTGGAAAATGCCATGATGCCATTTCTGACCTTAAGTCTCTGGTCGAGACCAGGTAAGAAATGAGTACACACCAGAAATCAAAGGAAATAATAATAATAATAATAATAATAATAATAATAATAATTGTAGTCCTCTGTTTCGAAAATGTTCCGATAGTGACACATTGAAGCGATCCCTGGTAGCCCATCCCATAAACAAATACAGAAAATGTATTCACAACTACAGATCACATCTTATGATGGGCTTTTTATATTTAGAATATGTGTGGCCGTAGGTTATCTTTTTTCATGTACTGCCACTTCCATCTGTTTAAATATTCGATGGGGAAATCTTTCAAAGAGATTCCCTGTCGGCCCTTCTGTTCTGTCTGTCCTTAATCCCTTTTTGCATGAAGTAAACAGTAATAACCTTAGATAGAGAGTAAAAAAAGATGATAAACTATTTGTCAAAGACAATGAAATGAAGCGTATTCTCAATACTGTAAATTGTTTCAGTGATGACGTCTGTATGGATTTCAGATTAGATAAATGTGCAAAAGTAACATTCAAAAAAGTGAGAATTACAGAAACACATTCAATAGATTTAGATTTTATCAGAAAGATTAGGGAACTGGAACAAGAAGAAGCTTATAAATATCTATAAGTCAGCGAAGGAGATGAAATACAGCATACCCAAATGAAAGAGAAACTAAGAAAAGAATATTACAGGTGCGTGCGTCTGATGTTAAATACGGACTTGAATTCACAAAACAGAATATCAGTCATAACCACTTTCGCTGTCCCTGTGGTGTAATACAGTTTCAACATACTTAATTGAAGCATAGCTGACATTAAGGGAATGATCGTCAAAAAGAGAAAGCTTGTCACTTGTCACTTGTCATTCCAAGGCTAATGTTGATCGTCTGTATGTTTCCAGGCCCAAGGGTGGGAAAGGATTAGTTCAACTAGAACTCTGTTACGAAACCACAAAAATCGGTCTTCAAAGATACCCTGAAACATAGAAGAATGCACGATGATATGTGTCAAAAACATGAAAGAAATAAGAAAAATTATTCAATAATAAAAGAGGGCAACAAATTTTTAAAAGGGAATTTCAAGTGGGCGAAGAAATGCAAGTAAATCATATCACACTTACTGCAGCGTCAAAGAACCTAAAAAGATAGCAATGTAGCAAATGCAATTTACCAAATGCAGAAACAATAAGAAGATAAGCCTCTTCCTGCTCAATATTCTGCCCTTAACACACAAGCAGATATAAACAAACTACATACTCATCAATGGTTACGTAGTGCGGGGCTAAAAGCTAAATCCCAGGGTTTTATTCTTGCTCCACAGGACCAATGTTTGCGAACCAGAATTTAAAAAGCACACGTACTGAAAAACTGTTCTCCCAAAATTAGAGATTCTTGTATCAGGTTGCATGGTATTGACACCCAGCGAATATAAAAGCCAGCATGACAGAATAGGCCAATATCTTTATTTGAATACATGCGACTTTTATGGAAAGGAAACTGCAAAAGAATTGATATGAACACCACCCAGGGCCAGTTACAAAGATAGGACCTGTAACAATTTTATGAGACTTTACAATACACACAGACAGAACAATCAAATCTAATCGCTCCAACATCGTGATTAAAGACCGCAAAGACAAAATGTGCCTCCTTATTAATATGGTAGTCCCTGCAGATTGTAATGTATCTTTGAAGATCTTCAAAAAACTATGAAAATACAAGGACCTTGAAATCGAAATCTCAAAAGTGTGGCGCATGAGGACATTAACAATTCCATTTGTAGTTGGAGCACTCCGATTGATTGGAAAAGATTCCAACAGACTCGTTGAAGAAATCCTATGTAGTTCATGCCATAAAGTAATACAAAAAGAAATGCACTCACAAGTACAGCCAAGACCTTACAAAGGGCTTTATCTATGTAAAATATGTGCGATTTTTTTCAAAACTTCTCAGTTGAAAATGTCATAACATTTCTGACCTTAGAGCCTTGGTCGGAACAGGAAACAAATGATCATACACCAGAACCAAAGAAAATAATAATAATAATAATAATAATAATAATAATAATAATCCAGAACAGACATGGGCGGGAATCACAGAAGAAGATGTTAAATGTGCACTGAAAAAAGCACACAACTGGAAATCTCCAGGAATAGATAAAATTCCTAACTTCTGGCTATATTATTTAAATACAGCACACAAAAAACTCGCCAAAGAACTTCAAGAAATGGTTACCGATCCAACTAAAATTCCTGCATGGATGACCAAAGGAGTTACCTTTTCTTCTACCCAAAAAATAGTGACACAAATATTCCGAAAAACTATAGACCAATTACATGTCTTCCAACAACATACAAACTGTTAACATCTATTTTAACAAAACAGACATATTTCTTCTTGGAAAGAAATGACATACTACCACTTGAACAAAAAGGGTGCAAACGAGGCTGCTACGGATGTAAAGACCAATTACTTATTAATAGGATGATCCTGGAAAACTGCTTCCGTGGAAAAAAAAAAATCTTAGTATTGCCTGGATAGATTATCGTAAAGCATTCGATAGTGTACCACATTCCTGGATCTTAAAGTCTTTTAAGTATGTACAAGGTATCACCTGTTATCATCAATTTCATCAAACAATGTATGTCGATATGGAAAACTACACTTTACCTCAATCATAAAAATGGAACCTATAAGTCTGGCGAAATAAACATCAATAGAGGAATATTTCAAGGTGACTCTTTTGTCTCCTTTATTATTTTGCATATCACTTATAGCATTAACCAGCCAACTTAACAAGACAGAATGCGGTTACAAAATAGCTCAAAAGAAAATAAACCATCTATTTTACATGGATGACTTAAAATTGTATGCTAGGAATGACAATGAGCTGGAAGGTCTTCTGCAAACTGTAAAATGCTTCAGTGAAGACATTGGAATGAAATTCAATTTGGATAAATGTGCTAAAGCTACAGTTTTACGAGGATCGCTACAACAAACTTCCTCTATTAGTTTAGACCCTGCTGTAACAATAAAAAGATTTAGAACAAGGAGAAGCTTATAAGTACCTAGGTGTAAATGAGAGTGAAGGAATTCACCATAAGAAAATGAAAGAAATAGTGCGTAAAGAGTACTATAGAAGGGTACGACTGGTATTAAAACTGAATTGAATTCTCAGAACAGAATTATGTCCATTAATAACCTTGCCATCCCAGTGGTCCAATATAGTTTCAACATCTTGAACTGGACTCTAAATGACATCAGACAAATGGATTCTAAAACAAGAAAGCTTCTTTTCTAAGTATAAGATGCATCATCCAAAGGCTGATGTAGACCGTCTATACATACCCCGTAAAGAAGGTGGAAGAGGTCTTATTCAGCTAGAATTGTCATACAAGACAACAACTATTGGCTTACTAACTTACATGGAAACAACAAATGACTGGATGATAAAATTAGTGAAACAACATGAAAACAGAAAGAAAAAATATTCAATAATAAAAGAAGGCAGTAAATACAAACAACATTTACATTTAGTAGATTCTGTAGTAAATCAAAACAGAAGCCAAGAACCAACTATTGCAGCAAAAGATATGAAAAAGAAAGCCAAGGATAAAGCCCTTGAACAGATGAAACAACGCTGGCAAGACAAACCTCTGCATGGCCAATATCCAGAACGTGCAAATAAACCCAATGTTGATAAAGTTAATACTCATCGATGGTTACGAGCATCTGGATTAAAGTCTGAAACTGAAGGCTTTATTCTTGCAGCGCAAGACCAGAGTCTTTTCACTAGGAATTTTCAGGCAAATATCATACATAATAATGTGGATCCAAAATGCAGGTTCTGTGACAAATACCAAGAAACAATAGACCATCTAATCTCAGGATGTTCTATACTTGCCCCAAATGAATATAAAAATCGTCACGATAGAGTGGGGCAATACTTACACTGGACAATGTGCAAACACTTTGGAAAATGTGTAAGCAAACACTGGTATGAACATCGGCCAGCAATGTAAACAAACTGGTGCCATATTTGTTATCAGCACGGTGATTTGAACGTGCCAAATTATTAGAATGGTTTAGTAAAATTCCCAGAATTGAGCAAACAAAACGTTTATTAATGTTGAACGTGAATGTTTATGATCAAAAGAAGCTAATAAATAAGATAATCAAACAAATAATAAAAGATACAAACAAAGGTACAGTTTTAAACAAATTAATAGGGAATGTGCTTTCCCTGTTTTGAAATTACTTGAAGAAGTCGACGATCCATAGAATTTGTTAACTGTAGGATTTCATCTGCTGTAATGCCGCGAGATATGTCAAGAATTTCTTCCCACAACTCAGCGTTGCTCCTAAATTGTCGTCCGTTGGCGTACAGTCTTCGCTTCATGATGCTCCAAAGGTTTTCGATTGGGTTCAAATCCGGAGAATTTGCTGGCTACTTCATTTTTCCAGGTCCATCGAAGCCTAACTGTTTCAAATATTCAGTAGTCTTGGCAGCATTGTCTTGCATAAAAACAATGGCCTTTCTGAAGGCAACTCTTTGCCTTTTCATCCACTGTTCACGATGCTCCTTTATAAACGCTATGTATGTATCAGCAGTCATTTTGACGCCATCTGGTACTTCCCATGGGCCCACTAATATGTTTCCAATAATA